ATCATCACTTTCCACTTCTGTAAAGACGTCACTGATGAAATACTGTGACACATTGGTGGGTTCTTCCTCTAAAAGACTGCTCTCGATCGAGTCACTTTGGGAGACAAAAAGCTAAAACAGAAGCAATAATGCATGTTAATGTGATCTATAGTAATAAAGGTTAACACGGAGCATGTTTAGTATTCCCACCTCATATGTACCATGTAAACTGCTTTGTTGGTTAGACTCTTGTGTTGACCCCGGGACTGTGCTGCATGACAAGGAATCTTTCAAACTGTCCAGAGAAAGTACTTCAGGTGATTTTACTGTTGCAGATTTTGTCTGTTGTGAGTTGTCAATTTTAGCTTCATTTGATATAAAGTTTTTCCTAAACAGAGAAAATATACTATCAATATAAATGTCAAAAAAGATTTAATTATATTTATTTGTATATAATTCAACATTACTATAAGACATATTTATGTTGTCTCACCTATTTTGCCCTTTATTCCCACTTTTCTCAGCAGACTTCCTCTTTATTTTACTGGTCACTGAAGAGCCATCACTTTCTTTCTGCGATGCACTTTCAATATTACGTGGAATCTTCTCTACACTTCTTTCAACTTGTGCAAGATGCTGGGTTATGTCTGTATGCTTGGTTGCTTCCTTGGCAGCAGCCTTTCTCGTCAGTCTTCTACTGTTTGTTTTCGTATCAACAGCACCTGGATTAAGAAAGAAATTTTAAACATTAAGAAAGAAAGTCAGATTAGTTGGAAGATCAAAGTAAATGTGGCACAATAAGTGTATGTAATAAAAGATTACCTCCAACGGCAATATGGCTCCCTGTTGGTGAAGTATTCATTATATTACTATTCCTATTGTCCCCTGCCTCTGGTAAAATTAGTCTTCGAACTGAAGGCTTTTCTGTTAGTACAATTAAAACATAAATTCAGCAACAAATAAGACTGCATAAAATAAACAACCCAAAAATTTACCTTGATGCTCTTCCAGTATGCTTATGTCCTGGTAACAGAAAATCCTTAATGAATAAAAGGGTTTTCTATAAGAGGGTTAATAGTTTTAGTGTTATTTTCACTTACAAAAGAGGGTGCAGATGGCAAATACTCTTCTACAGAAATATGGTCAGATCTAAGAGCTGCTTTTTCTGGTGTTGGAATGTGAATGTTAGAGAGAGAGATGTCAATTCCTGGAGCAGGTGGCACCACAGGCTCAACAGGATTTCTACAGAATTAGACAACAATTTGTTTTCAGTTACAGACAATGAAACCTTACTGTGCATTCTTATCTGTAAGTAGATAAAAGCAAATACTAGCCTTTCCTGTGCCTCCATTACTGGTAGAGGAAGACAAGACTTGGGTGCAGACTCCACGGCTTCCCCTACTGGACAGACTGGTATCTCAGTCAGAGAGAGAATGAAAAATGGCTCATCTGGATCAGATGGGATGTGATCTGGAAACACTTAAGTGACAACGTAATAAAGGTAAAAGTTAATAAAACATATGTAAAGAAATATGTTAATTCTGTAAATAGTCAGAGCTACTTACTGCTGGGAAATAGATTCTGGTATTGGAAGTTGCTCTAGATCAATAGAAAATATTCAGTGAAATTATTGCCTTAAAAGTGTCAATAATAAATCTCCATTACCTGTATAGAACTGTCCTGCGGATTATTGGAGCCTGAAGGCTGGGCAGCTGCAGCCTTATTGTGTTGAAGACTAGAAGGTTCTACAGCACCATCTACTGGTCTTGGATGACCAGTGGAGATTTCAGAGGTTTCCGGGTGAATATTGCAAATGGCTTTGCTGTTTTTACAAATGCCTGTACAAATATAAACAGTGTTTACTAAGGTTTAATTAAATAAAGCTAAAGCTAAAGCTAAAAAATATAGCTCTAACCTGTATTATTAAGAATGGTATCCTGAGGTTGTTGCACACTTTTGCTGGAATCAAATGTTGCACTGTGAACAGTGTAGAGACACTAATGTTTAAACACTAATGTCAGTGCTAATATGACTTATATTTCAAGTTTTTCTTACCATTCCAGCTCAGAGATAGAAGCTGATTTGATATTTGTGGTATTTGTTTTTAATTCACTTGAAACCTGTTGTGTTGTGTCCATGGTGCCCATTGAAATCCCCAAGTTTGAAGCGACTGCACTTGATGAGGTTGGTTCAGCATTTTCTGATTTGTACTCATGTGGTACAGTTGAAGAGTCCTGAAGGGTTTGTTGTTTAGATGTTGCAGCTACAGTACTTGATTTTACAGTTGCATGGCTCTTTTCTTTAGACTCCTCTTTTGACTTTATAGTTCGGGGTGATAACACTAAATTGGGTTTAACCTTTGGAATCCATCGCCTTCTTTGAGGCGTACTAAGTTTTGAGCTTTCCAAGGCTGGCTGTGACTGCTGAACAGGCCTGGCGTTTGCAGTTTTATCCTCTTCTGAAGAATGGGTTGAATGCATGTTTCCAAGCTCTACAGTTGTACTCTTAACAGGTTTGAGTTGGTTTGGTTGTTTCTCTGCACATTGGACAGATGGTGTACCACATGTCTCTTGTAAGTGGCCTAAATGTGTTTGAAATTTGCTTTGCGATCCAAGCTCTGTTTGTTCTTGTGAATGACTGGTTTCAAAGTTTTCTGTCCCCTGGCTCTTAAATGTCAATGATGCCTGGGGGCTGTCTTCACATGATACTGTCACAGATTCTGAGATTGAAAGTGCAGGTGGCTGAAGCTTAACTGTTGCTGCAAATCCACTCTCAATCTGCCATTTTTCCTTATTGGTAACACTTGACTTTGAAGACATTTTTGTAGCCCTTGAGGCAAACTCAATGTTTGGCTTAGGTTTAAGCTTGAAAAGTCTTCCTTTTCTTGGCATTGCAGGATTTTTAGAACTCGGCGAATCAAGTTCATCACTGGGTTTGATGACTTGTGTTTCAGAAATGTATGATTCCGGCATCTCATTCGGTGTGCTGAGTAATGTTACATTTTTAGTGTTGGATTGTTCTGAGACAGGCTGAGTAGAGTCTTTCTGACATTCTAAAGACCTGAGCTGACTGGTTCTTGTAATGTCATCATAAACCTGTGCCCTTTCTTCAACAATTTGTTCTGTGGTCCTTAAATCACAAAGGACATTTTGTTTTATTGCCGTTTCCTCCTTAGTCAAAGATAAGCTCTCTGGAGTTGTTGTGAGTTTTGGAGACATGACTGTTTCCAGTATGCCACATTTTTCATAGCTCACTTGTTTATCAGAAATACAGGACGATGGCATCACTATTGTTGGATCGTCTGTTGGTCTGCTTTCAGCATGTGATGGTTCAGACACAGCCCAAGTGGGTTCCAGTTGCTCTGAAAACTGGGGCAGACTGGTTATTGTGGTCTCAAATTCAACCTGTTTGGTTTCTATATACCACCACCAACAGTCTGTGTGCGCAGTTTTGTAGTCCTTGAACCAAGGTTAGGCTTAGGTTTTATCTTAGAAAACCTTCCCTTCCTGAGAGGTGACAACTTCTCTTGTTTGCTACACAGTTCCCCACTAGATGTAAATGTCTGTATGTCAGAAGTATGAGATGATGGTAGCTGTACTGTTGGGCTGACTTCAGTTGTTGATGGTTCTGAAACTGCCAGAGGGCATTCTTCCAGTTGCAAAGAAGACTCTACATCAATGCATTGACTTTCAATTTCTGAAAGAAAAACATTGATTTCAGTGTTAAATTCACCTATTTGAAAAAAAATTGTGAAATGCAGTTCTCACTTGATGTGTGATCTGACATAGATGCCTGACTCTGTGTCGGTTGGGACAGATTAGCCAGATTTCCAAATGCCAACAAGGTTTGAGCAGCCTCGTTGTAGCCTTCATCCTCTGATGCTAAAAACAGTGAAGTATTAAAATGGTATATTTTTCCGCACAAAAAGTAATATAATAAAGTACAAAAGACATACTTTCTGTATGTTCCGAAAGGAAGTCAATTACATCCTGGAAAAAAAAGAAGAAAAGAGAAGCATTGCAATAAAACATTGCAATAAAAAACAGTTATTTACTACAAAAAAGAACAAGGATCTGACAGGAGCACATGCATAATAGGAAACTTACAACAAGCAGGTCCAGCTGATGCTCACAGGGTTCAACAGTGCCGCTTTCATTTTGTACTTGCTCACATGAGGCATCAGGGCACAGTGCATTCTTGGACATACCCAACACATCAGGCATGTGGGTCAAAATGTCAAGCTAAGAGTGAAATGAGGGGAGCCATACAGGAGAAGATGCATTTGGAAATGAAGAACCATGCACAAAAAACAGATCAACAACAAAATAAAAAAAAATGTTGGATGAAGTGTTTGAAGCAAGACCTATGATAATAGCATGAGTGACTGGCTATTATGAAGGTAAGACCAACTAGTGATTATGATATCCTTACCTCTTCCATGGTCTCCTCCACCTCTGGGACCACAGGTTTGGGTGAGCACAGACTGGCCGGCACAAACGCACTTGTACTGTTCTCATCGTCATCACGTGGTACATCAGGTTCCTCTTCTTCATTGTCACTCTCTCTTCTGACTGGGAGGCTCTTAGTGTGATCAATTTTGGTTTCTTTGACTCTTTTGCAGAGTGTTGCTGTGCTGATCTTCCTGATCTTCCTCTCTTCCCAGCAGCTTTGCCTTTGACTTTGACTTTTGTCATGGTGGTGCGTGCAGGAGAGGTCAAAGTGGTATCTGGTGAGTTTGTATCCTCTTTGGCTGGGTAATTTAGGACTTGTACAGGTTTGGAAATTCTCCCAGATCTGCAAAAGCCAGCAATGAGTTTATGACCAGAAAATTCTAAAATAAGACTACAACACATACCTAGTTGGTCTTGCTATCAGCACAGTAGTCTCTTGATCTGAAGAATCATTGTCTGACATTCTCTCTGTAGATTTTTGTGATGAACAGGTCTCTTTATTAATCTAAACAAATATTGTTTAGTGATAAAAGACAATACAATATAAATGCATACAGATAAAAGGAATAAGGCCCCACCTGGACTTCTACCATTTCTTCACTAGTGCCCTCTCCTTCAGAAACTGTAGCTTTAGACTTGGGTCCGATGCTGGGTTGACCCTGATGACCAATAGGATTGAGTGCTTTTCCTGGTTTCCTTGATTTTGCTTCTGTATTCTTGGCAGAATCAATTTTTTCAGTCTTTTCACATCTGATATATTGAACAGAATTTAGGACATCACAATATAATATAAAATAAGTATAACTACACACCATCACAGTAACATGCACTTACTCATCTTCTGGAAGAACAATTTCTTCAAAATCTGCAAGTGACCAAGAGGTTAAACTCGAAACAATAACAAGAGACAAGATCAAAGAGTGTTTTTTGTCCTGTTTCACCTGGCACATTTTTCTTTTTCCCTTTACTTTTCTTTTTGTCATTTTGTGGATCTGACAAATGGTCATCTTCATCTTTTCTTTTGCATTTGAGCTTGGAGGCTGGCGTTTCCTCATTACAGAGGTTTTCCTTCTCCCCTTCCTGCTCCTCATTGGACATTTCATCTTCTGTTTCCTCCTCCACATCACTCATATTGGAAGTAGCTTTTTTACCTTTGTAGTGACCAGAAAATCATGTTGATAAATAAATAAATAAATGAAACAACATAATATTCAAATAATGTATCTCACCTTTTGGTTTTTCTTTACGTTTTTTAGGAGTTTGTTTTTTCTGAGATACTGACTTAAGTTTCTTTTTACTTTCCTGAAATTCAAGAATCTTCTCCAGCAATTTCGTAAAGTACTCCAAATCCAGTCTACGCCTCTCCCCTACAGAAACATGCAGACTGCCTTTATACAAACTCCAAATAATGATATGGATATATAAATGTTCATTTTAAAGCAAGGATTTTATTAATTTCATAACCTACTAAAAGCTTTGTCAATCCTCCAGGCATTATGCCGCTCCTCCTTCTTAAATTTGTTCTTAAAAAAAAAGAAAACAAAAGTATTGAGTTAATAAGTTAATACTATTATAAACACACAACCCATGTTCACATACTTACCTTAATTTCTGATCGAGCTCTGTGAGGAAATAGCTGACAGATCATCGTAAAATCGGTGCCCACCATGCTGATGGCCAAGAAGAACATGTCAGTCTCTATAAAAGAAAAAAAAATGTGAACGTCCTTCATACACAGAACACTTAACAATGGTTTGGAATATAACCTTCAGTAGACCAGGGCTTGGTGTGGGTCCCTTTCCTGAAGCTTGAATAAGTTGTTGTGGAGCCTCGTTCAAAAATAGGATCTCGATCCTGAATTGTATTTGGCCCCTTCATCCTTTGGACTTCCACAGTCAGGCTACCGCAAACAAATTTTTTAATTTTTTTATTTACATACAAATTTGACAAAACCTATAAAATGTCCTACAAACCTTTCCTCGTCAATAATAAGCGTGCCATCTTCTGCTACTTTGACTTGAGGGACCATTAGTGTATCTTCATCCTCAGCTTCCCCCTCCTCATCATCCTCCTGCGCTTCTGCAGTTGAAGTGGTTGCTGTTGTTTCCACCTGATCAGGACTACGCAGATCTGGTTGAACTTCTGGTTTCTGTGCTCTGTTGTCTGGTGATCTAGGAAGAAAAAAAAAACAATTTAAATTAACTAGTGACATTCAGCATTCGGCATTCAGCATTAATTTTGGCACCATGATTGTGTATTTCTGCTGTCAGAATTATACTGAATAAAGCAGAAGAAAATATTTAGCTACGTACAACTCTCTTTCAGGTGATTGTGGAGTGACAGCCTCATTTTCCTGTTGAGAGCCTTCTAAGGTCGATCTGTATTTTGAGAGAAATACAACAGAAATACAAAGATACATTATTGATTCTAAGATAGACTATTGATTGTTTGATAAAGAAACTTACGACATGGGATTGGATGTTGGGAGATAATGGATAAGGTCTCGCATAGTCATTTTGGATGGATCTAAACCATGTTCCTTTGCACGTGGCTTGGACTTTTTTG